AATTTATTTATTTTCTCTTTTGTTATAAGTCCTTTTATTAGCTCTATTCTGGTCGAGATTTTTTCTTGTAGGTCTTTTCCGAATATTATTTCTGTAATCCTCTGTATTTCTGTTGTTATAAGCTTTTCTTTTTCTTTTTCCGCTTTCTTTACAATAACCTCACTTCCTTCTCTCTCTATGATTTCCCACAAACATTGGTACTCAGGACATCTGGCAAGGTACTCTTGAGTTTCGGCTTTTTGACGGCATATTTTGCACTTGTCATCTGTATATATATTAGCCTTTCTCTGGTATAGGACTTGTATCATTGGCAATAACTTGCTCAAACACTTGATCTTGAAGACCCAATCTCTATGTCTTTCTGCACTTCTACACATATTGCCTTTATCTTTACTTATGTCTTTCTATACCTCCTTCTACTCAATTGCTTTTTGTTGTTACTCATTTGTTTATACTTCTAAGGCTTTTCCATTTCATATTGATGCAGAATTCTGTTAGTCTTATAATAAAACTTCTTGTTACATCATTTACCCTTGTTTCTTGCCACCTAAGTTTGGTTATAGCTTGCTTGTTCCAGGGCCACTTGGGATCCAGAACCGTCTGGCTTCGTGTTTCTTCTTTTGCGAGTTTATCTGCCTTCTCATTGCCTTGTATGTCACTATGTGCTTTGACCTTGTTGAGCTGAACCTTCAATTCTTTTAACTCAATTGTTCTTCATATTTGTTCTAGAAGGCATAAATTCTTCCTTTTGACTACCTCACTTTGCTTGTTTTTGTCCTCATTTGACTATATTGCCTGTATCGCAGCTGCGCTATCTGTATAAATACTGATCGAGATCTTGCAGGGAGTGACTAACAGGGCTGACCAGATTGCTTCTAGTTTAGCTCTTGTCGAGGATGGCCAGTCTCTTATTGTTTCTTGAAACTCTGCTATAAAGTGGTTATGCTTTTTGATCTTGTTTTCTATTGCGGCTACTCAGCCAATTCCCATAATTCTTCTATCTGGGTTTTTATCTGCATTCGAGAGTGAACCATTAGTGTAGAATGCCAATTTTCTTTACCCTTCAAGTTGTATTGTGATACTTTTTAGCTTCTCTATTGTTTGAGGGCTTTCGATTGCTTGTTTGATCACTTCTTCCACCAATGAGTGTATAGCGACTTTAGCTACTTCAGCTTCGTGTTCAGACGGTGTTAAAACTGTATCTATTACACCACTTGGATATATCATCGCCAAGCAGCTTAGTGGAACACTTAGATTCCATATGTGAAGTTCTGTGGGGTCTTTTTGTAGTAGTCTCTAGTTGATCGCTACCACCTTGTTTTTCACTGACTTGCTTTTCTGGCAGGATTCTGGAATTTTATTTTCTTTACTGTTTTGTTCACAGCCTTTGCACTTATTTAGTTTAACCAAATTATTCTCCTAATCATTTGCAACTACCCAGTGTTCTATTGTGTAGGTTCTTTTGCCTCTTTTCTCTATTATTCTGCCAACTTTTATTTTGCCTTTGTTCTTTATCAAAATCCACTCTTTTCTTCTTTTATCAGTGCTTATAGTGACTGGTGCTATTTTCAGATATAGATCATTTGCTATCTAGGTCTGGAAGGTGGATTTGGCTCTTCGACTCGTTTTGTTCAAAAGGACTGTATCTTCTATTTTTGCGAACCAACTTGGTACTTTACCAGCTGCTTTTAACCTTTTACACTTCTTGATCTGCTTCTATATAAGTAAATTGAGACCTTCATTATTTAGAAGCTGCTCTAAAACAAAAAGCCTCATTTCTTTCTCTTGAATAAAGCCCTTTATTTGCTTTTCTTTAAGAAGGTCTAATATCTCTGTGCCTTTTTCTGTGAGCTCAAGGCTTTTTTCTATTTCTTTTGATCTGATGCTTATATTTAAACATTTTGCCTCGATTATGATCTTGTAAACTAGATTCTGTTTGAGACTGACTTTTTTTAACCTAGCCAGGTCTAATTCCAGAATACACTTGGTATTTTTGCAGTCGATCTGTACTTGTTGTATTCTGATCTATGTTGTTTTGCTGGTATCATTTGGGCAGTGCATTCATTTACGGAGTTTTGTTATATGATAGGCCATTTGATTTTGCCAAATCGTTTTCAAACCAGCTATGTTTTTGTAAGTTAATACTGCATTTGCTGTTGTGCTAGATAAATCTGATTTGTTTTTAATCAACTTTACTAAAGAGCTTTGCAGTCTGTCACACCAGCCTCTTGGTAGTATACAATGTTGAAGTCTATATTCAAGTTTTGGTATCAGTACTCTATTGTTAATATATATTAATTGTGCTAAGGTCATGCTTTTCTTGTAAATTGCTTTTATCACTGCATTGATCTCCTTTTTTGCAATTTTGATAGCATGATGTTGACTAGGTTTTTTTGAGAGCTGGATGCCTAAAAACCTTGCTGTTTTAGTTATTTTTTTTTCTGTCACCTTGTCTCTTGATGGCCCTACTTCTATATATCTAGGGTTCTTTTCTTTTTTTCCACCCACTATTAGGAGCTCGGACTTTTTGCTATTTATTTTAATATCATTAAGTTTGTAGAATTCTTATATGATCTCGAGTGACTCCTTTAGTTTTTGCTTATTAGCTGCGATGTAGGTGGTATCATCGGCGTATGCAATTACTAGAATTCTTAAACTTTGTTGCATAATAATATTTTTGCTAAGGCAAACAGGCCATTTTACCTCCAATTCATATCCTCGGTTGTGATTTTCTTGCAACTCTGCTAGCAAGGGATCATAAAAGATACGCCAAACCAAGGGAAGTATCACTTCTCTTTGATCTATTCCATCTCCAGCTACAAACTTCTCTGTTGTACTTATACTTGTAATAATCTCTATTTCACGGTTTTGATATAGATTAATTATAAAGCAGACTATAGTTTCTGGGATCTTGATTCTATCTAGTACAAGCTTAAGCATCTTAAGCCCTACAGAGTCATATGCTTTTCGCATATCTTGGAACATTAACCATATTTCTTTTTTCTTCTCTTTTGCTTCTTCTAAAAGGCAGTTTATCAGATACACAGGTGCTGCAGTGCCCTCTCCTGGTAAGCTAGCAAAATTTCTGCCTTTTAAAACTTTTTTTCCCCTATTACTCTTGCTAGTCTATTCATTACTATTCTTACTACCGTTTTTCAAAAGGACTCTAGTAATAAAATTGGGTGTATATTGTTCAGATTATAGCACCATTCTTCTGTTTTCAGTATTGGGTACAAGCTTCCAAGCTTCCATTTCTTTAGCATCGTGCCATTTTTAATACACTTTGTAGCGAACTTACGAAACACAGAGTTTGCATGCCTTCCTGCTCTCTTAATTAAGGGGTAGGTAATACTGGATGTACCTGGAGCTGACTTGGCTCTTGCTTGTGCCAGAGCTGCGTCCCATTCTGCCTCACTGACCTCACTCGTGGCATCTGCGAACCAGGCCTCATCTATATCCTCTTTTGAAATGTATTGCTTTTTCTACTTTGGGGATAGCTCGTTTGGGTTTATTATATTTCTTTTGCGAAATTGCTTTGCAAAGTGATTCCTAACTTCTTCTAAAATCTCTGTGGCTCATAGATTAGCTCTGGCTCCCCTTCATTGTCCTTGACTACCCTGTCTATTTTTATTTTCCTGCTTGGACAGTCTAAAATGCTATTCAGCATTTTTCTCTGATTAGACACAATTAGACTATGCCTTTTTTCTATACAGTTCCTTACTGCCATTTCCTCTGCTTTTTTAATTCTTTGTTTCCATTCTATATGTATAATTTTGGCCCAACTTTTAAGATTTTCTACATTTACAATGTCTGGCCCATCTGAGGAATCTATATTTATAATTAATTTAATTTGTTCTAATACTGTCTTTTTTTCCTCTGGGCTTAACATGCCTTTCTTACTCTTGCGATAACTTTTAGTACATGCTTTTACAGCTAGTCTTAGTGCATATATTTCTTTATTCTCCTTGCTAATTTGCTGAATCTCAGGTGTTTTCTTTCTTTTTGGAAGACTTTTGTTTGCCGCTATTTTGATGCAGCTTTCTATAATATCCCACTCTTCGTCGAGGTTTTTGGGCTCATTTTTACACCAGGAGTCCTTAAGCTTTTTGTTGAGTACTTTTTGGAATTCCTCTCATTCTTCTTTAGAGGTTTCACTTATGTCAATATTTACTCTTTTTCTGTAAAAATGTTTCTGATTTGTAGGTTTTGCATTTCTTATCTCTAGGCTAGTAAGAATGCATGCACGTATAAGCTTATAATCACTTCCGGTGCAAATTGATATATCATCTACTTTGGTATTAACTATGTTGCTTCTTCACTGATTTGAGACCTATATATAGTCGATTCAGGTCTCTGTATTGCTGTTCAACCACATTAGTATCTGTATAGACTCTTGTACATCAAAGAATTGCCTCTCCTCGAGCACTTGTATTATTCTCCTCTTGAGATTTGTTATGCGTTTTGTGCTTGTACTGGCGGAGTCGTTACTTGCGGATTCTCCTATATTTATATTTAAATCGCCTAGTATCACGTAACATTGTGGTTTTCTCTTATGTTGACTTATACTATATTTGAGTCTTTGTAATATTTTTTCCTGAACTGCCTTGTTGTTTGGAGCTACATATATGAATATGATGTTAATTGTGATATCTCTAAAATCTAACACCAGGCTCAAAAAATATGGGTTATCTCTGCTTTGTGATATAATGTGCCGCTCTCATCTTTTCTTGATGATGATCCTGAGTCCAGATCCTTTTTTCTTATTTTCATCAGAGTCTGCCCATATACTAACATATGAATCATTGTTTTTTGTTGTGAAAAAACCCTCTTTGTTGCTAATATTTGTTTCTCCTAACCCCAGTATATCTATCTTTTTCTCTTCTGTATAATATAAGATCACTCTCAATTTGTTCTTATTGTCCTTTATACCATTAATATTGTGGAACCCAATGTTCATCATACAGAACTGTTCGTATCTGTCTTCTTTGCTCACTGTCCACTGCCCAACTTCTTCTCCTGGGGATTCACTCTCACCTTCTTTTTCACTCTCTTTATTTCTCTTAGAGAGGTTTATTTTTGTGAATGGGGCGCCTTTAGAAGCGATCTACAAGAACTACTCTTGCGAATGTTGTTTGAAATAGACTGCTTTGGTCTTCTAATTTGTCGAGTCTACTCAAAATCTGTAGCAGCATGCTGTGAACCGAGTCCTCTTGGGTTTGTCGCCTCTTATTTGCTCCTTCCTTATTATTTCTAAAATTAGGCTTCATATTCTCTTTGTTTTTGTTTTCTTTGTCTAATGAGCGCCTGGGTGGGATCAAGTTGTCACTTGTTCTATTTTCGTTGGCCTTATTTGATGTATATGGGTTTTCTTTCTTCTCTCTTTTATCATTCTCTTTTGGATTGGTTGGACAATTTGTTGTACTTTCTCTATTGCTTATAGTAACATATTTGAGATCCTCTTTTATACTGTCTACTACACCCCAATCAAGCTTTGTATTGTAGTAGTACATTCTCTTCGAGAGAGCTGCCAGAAGCTCCTCTTCTGATTTAAAGAACACTGAGGCAGTGCTTTTTTGATCTCTGTTGTGGTTGTGTGAAATATATACTGCTTGTGCTTTTACTGGTTTTAGCTATTTTAGTAGCATCATTTCCAGAGCTGTCTTGGGAATATTTTTTAAAACTGCTTTGTATTTTTCTCTCTCATCTAAGATACTCTTATCAAATACCTCTTCAGAAAGTCTTAGTATTTTCCCTTCTTCGAAATGTATGGCTCAAACTTTAATAAAAAGAGCTTTTCTTCTCTCGTTCCAAAAGATTATGCTAAACGAGATGGCTTTCTTTGCTTCTAAAAATTCCCAATGCCTAAATTGCACTCGACCATAGAAGTGCAGACACCTTCACACTCTTATTGCTTTAACTTCTGCTAGTATGTTTCATAAAGTATACCATATTTTCAGAGCTTCAGTGTCTCTTTCTGTTCTCCTCATAGTATCTTTGGTATTATCTCTCTTATCTTCATTCTGGGCTTTTATGTTTGTTCTTTCATTAACCATAGTGTAATATAGTAGACTTTGGTGGCAGTAAACTATATTACTTGACTTAGTGTTAAGAGGGTAAGAAATGTGAATAATGTAAAGTGAACACTAAAAGAAACTAACAAGATAGTAAAAGAATAATAAAAGAACAATAAAAAGTTAATAATTCCACTATGAAAGAAGATAACAGAATATAAAATGTATATAAAATAAGTATTTCACAAGATAATATTAGTTTATTAGATAGAAAGAATAAAGTACAAGAGACCAAGTCTAAGTTTAAAACCAAATCTAAGACAAAATCTAAGACAAAAATCTAAGACAAAATCTAAAACAAAATCTAAGACAAAATCTAAGACAAAATCTAAAAAATCCAAGACAAAATCTAAGACAAAGCCTTAGGTAAAAAGGCCGGGTTTATATATCCTTTACAATCCTAAATAATTACTAATTATAGTCTATGTTATTGTACTATTGTATCAAAGAGACTTGCTAAAGAGACTTGTCAAAAAGACTTGTCAAAGAGACTTGTTAAAGAGACTTGTTAAAGAGACTTGTCAAAGAGACTTGTCAAAGATACTAGCTAATGAGACTAATCAAAGAAACTAACCAACGAGACTAGCCAAAGTGACTAGCCAAAGAGACTAGCCAACGAGACTTAATTATTAGTTTAAATAAAAAACTATAAAAACTATATTAATAAAACTAATACTAAGGATTCTATTGGTTAAATAATATTTGTACTACACTTAGTAGTTACACATAGATAGAAAATTTAAAATACTAATATAATATTAATATAACAGTAGGTTTTATATCTTGCGCAATTAGAGTAAATACGGTTTTAGCTAAGTCTTCTTTTTTCTTTTTACAAGTTTTTTTTGGCGTCTCTTTTCTTCACTGCTGGGCTTGCACTTCTCTTTCTTGTCAGAGTTTCAGTTTTAGGCTGATGTAGCTTTAATTTCTCTTCAACACCGTAGTCTGCTATACCACATTCTTGTTCGATTAATACCTCTTTGCTTTCCTCGATTCTGTTTGAGTTTATTAAATCTATTAATCGAGAATTCTCTCTTTTTTAATTCTCAAATATTCCAACCAATCATAGGTTTCGATTAAGCATCTCAACATGCATATAAGTTGAGGTTCGGCTCCTACAAATGCTGCTATTTCACTATCTTTTCTGAGGCATTTCTCCTTATGCTTCTTTTTAAACATATTAAAATCTTTAATTGATTTCCTAAAAATGTCTCTATATTTGTTGATTTTGTGTTCCCAGTCTATCTCTGAGTTCTTTAGTTGCTTGGTACTCATTGTGTACTCATGATTTGAGTTAAAAGACATTGCTTTCGGTTTTTATTAGTAAATTTTAGATTTTATTTTTAGTATGTGTTGCACGTGATTTTATATGTTTCTCACGTGTTTTTACGTGTAATCTTTGCATAATTGCTTTTATGCTATTGTGTAGCTCTGTATGAAGTACTTGTGTCACCCTAAAGATCTGTGCTACAGGGATAATGCTATTTTCCGTTTATGTGAAACTAAGAAGAAGTTTGGCTAAATACTGAGATATTTGACTAATTTGCTTTATTAAATACAGAGCTAAAATGTCTTGAAGCTTAGTTGGGTTTTCTTTTTTACTACCAGAGAGTTCTGTTGCCTTTGTTGAGTTGAACTTTGTTTCGCCCAAGTTTTGTTACCATATATTTCTTTTAACAGGAACTGCTATCTTTTCTGCTTGTTTAACCTGCTACTACTACTCTAATAAAGCTTGACTTGATGTTTCTGACCTTTATTCTATATCCTGTTAGGTCTATTGTTGTATTTGTAGTCTAGTTTTAGCGTGGTATGTGTTTTTAGTCTTCTGCTATTTTTGTGCCAAGTGATCATCGAGGAGAGTTGTAATGATTTTGATTTGTTTTGTAATAATTTACAAAACATAAAAAAGCTGTAATATTATATAAGAAATTTTGAAATATTGTGAAATATCAAATTACAAAATATTACATAAGATATTTCAGAATATTTCAAAATTTTTTATATAATATTAGGCTTTTTTTATATTAAGTAAAAATTTTGAAATAGTTCGCATACATGCAAATAAGTTATATTTTTAGTTTTCATATTATCTATCCCTTAATATGTAGACCAACGCAGGCAAATTTGCCTGCGTTTTTGCACTTTTTTAGCTCTGATTTACTTTTTT